GGGATGCTCTGCTGAGGTCTAGAAAACACCTTCTCTTGCTGAATTTATCCAGTCTTTTAGGTATAGCAAGAACACATGGTCTCTCTTTCACGGTGTCTAATCCTGACTTTTCCAGATCTGTGTGTTTTGGAGGGTACTTACTCTGCTAATAACATTGTTAGGCTAATAGTACTTCTGTTCACAATATCCTGTGCAACATTAGATAAATTGTCATTTCTTCTGTACAATATGGTCCCTAATGATTCCCATTCTTAATGGGATGTTTGAGAGCTGCCTGGATACTATGGGGAGGACTGGGCAATGCAGGTGGCCTTCTGCCTTTATAGCTGTATGAGAATAGCTATGTCAGTGAAGCTACAGTAGACACTATGTATTAGAAAAGTGTTTGGTGGTTTTGTTTCTTTTTAAGGCATAGTTACATCCTCTCTTCAAGTGACATAACATGATTAAAGAAGAAAATGTCTGTCTGCAACCCCAGCATGAATTTTGACACTGAACTGAGTACATGCAGGCAACATTTTGTAGTGTAGCCTTTGTCCTAGCCTGAGAGGAGCAGTTCCTTTGTGGTTTTAGTTGGTTCAGTTTAGTTTGGTTTGCTTGGCAGAATTGGTATGCCGAGGAGCCATCATCAGGCAGGTCCAAGGCAACAAATTAGAATGTGGCTTTGGGCAGTCAGGATCTCCCTCCAGGGTCTAATATAGAAATTTCAGGAAGTATTAGTTTTTATGGCCTTGCAGTTGTTAACGGCCAAAAGTGTTCCCTGAAAGTTGGCAGGTAACAAATGCAATCAATAACCACTGTTAAACGGCAATGATATTGACTAAGCAAAATACAGTTTATGTAACAGTCAGGCCTTAGCAAGTCAAGAAATACCTTTCCACAACTATAAAGTACTTCATATTGACACGTTTTTATTGTCTATCATATGAGCTCCTTGGAAATGAGGAACTTTTTGTTATAGCTGATATCAGGTTCTTTTGTGGGAAGAAATAAATGGTTTCTTAATGATTTCTGAAAGTCGCACTGTGGCTATAATCTAAGTCTTGCAGCTCAACCCAGACAGAGAAGAGAAAGCAAGGGAAGGCTTTCATCAAGAGAAAAAAACAACTTGGTTGTACTTTTGCTGTTCGATTAGAGATGCTCATGGTAGCTGTATTTTCTGTTAATTTTTCTTTTATTTCTTTTTATCTGAAGTTCCTAGATCACTGTTTAAAATGCAGTTAGGGTTAAGGTAAGAAAATGTTTATTTTATTTTTCATTTGAGCTTACAAGAAGTGGGGTGAGTGTTAATAACTGACTCACTATGAAAGCTGTTCCAAGCTTCTGCAAGGCTGAGGGACTGATAAATGAAATACATCTCTATGAAATTCAGATGACTTTATATGAACAGAACTGTGAAACAGGATTAAGGAAGAAGTAGGTCGAACACAAACCTATTTGGCGAAGTGTATATACCATTTAAATAGATCTCATGATTATAAAGTTGGTGAACTCTGCTGTTTTTTTTTTAAATGTTATCTTTAACTCCCTTCTGATGTGTATCCCCCTGCTTAGGAAGATTCAACCCTTACAATTTTATTCTAGTGCAGATTTTTAGATTGTTACTTTTATACAAAAATAATTTCAGTTTTTCCCACAGTGATTTTAGGTAACAGAATCCTATCATCTTCTCCCAATTTGGGGTACGCATGCTAATGGTTTACTACAAAACATGCAGTTACCCAGTCCTCTCCATAGTATTAGTTAGACAGTACTTTGTTAATGTTGACTGTGCCCGATGATTGCATTTGTGTTTTAAATGTCTTTCAATAGCATTATTGCTTGCATAAATCAATGGACACTTCCCAGAGCTCTGTGGATTCTAGGTTCTGTTGGATTTTGTACATTACATTTAGTTGTACTGGTGCAACCAGAACTCTTTGGTAGCAGATCCAGTTGTGCCCACAGATTTCTAGCTAGAGTATAAGAAGAGACTTGAAGCTGTCAATATGCCCTTGGTAAAAACTGCAGTAACTGAGTTCCAACATATGCCACAGCTTAGGAGCATAAAATGTCAATGTAGGGCAGCCAGTCTATTGAAAAATCTTTGCAGATAGTAATGTGCATGGGCCCACAATTGTTTGCATAGGCACTTTTGCATCTATTGGCATTTATTCCTTTCCCCTTACCTCCAGGTTTCCTTCACTGGAGAGCTTGACTAATTTTATAGTCATTCCAGCATGTGGGATATATATATATATATATATATATAAAAAACAGGTTTTAGAAAATGGATTCTAAATTTTTTTTTTCCGATTTCATGAAAGGTATTTCTGAAGCTACTACAGGACTCAGAGAAGATGCCTTATGTTCCACAGGCAGCACACCTGGACTGTACAAATGGTGCTGAATCAGCCTGTAAGTACAAAATTAGGTACCTTCTGAAGCAGCCAGATTTGTAAAGATCACAAAGGCAAAGATAAACATGCACAAAGTTCCCACAGTTGAGGAATGCACAAGCAAATGGAGAATACTGCCTGCTACCATCTGGTAATTCTTTTTTTGTGCGTGTGACGTGATCCACCTTAGGTAGTAGGTTTTTATATGTCCCATCCTTCTACTATGTCTACACATGCACACAAGCATTCTCTCACTGCATCAGCACTAACGTACAGCTTCCTAGCAGTCCCTGGCAACTAATTACCCTCATTGACTCATACTGACAATGGATAAATATTGGTGGGATATACCACAGATATAAAATCTGTAAGCTATTAGAAAGGTATATTGACCTCCATACATATGCAAATAATAAATAAAAGCTGTTGCCCCCCATAGTAGAAGATCATTTGTCCTCTCAAATGGCATGTTATTTCAGCTTCCCTTACATGTTTGTTTGTTTTAAAACAAGTTTCTTCATGCTTTCTATTGTCCTGCCCTGCAAGCCTGGGAGGAGGTCCTTGTTAACATTTCTGAAAACTTAGGAAACTTGTTCTCCTTAAAAACTCTTCTTAGAAGTCACTAATGAGATATCTTTCAAAATGCAAGGCTCAAGTTCTCTAATGACAGTGCCCACCAAGCTCATCAATATTTTCTCATTGTTCCTGGGATTCTCATGTTTCTAAATATACCATGTTTCTTTCTATTTGATCGTTTATATCTAGATTATAGTCATCTTCGGTTAGATGTCAAACAGTTTGTTCTATATGCAGTCCTTTTTGTTTTGTTTCTATAGAACACAGGCACAGAGAGGTCCTGGTCTGAGACTGAGGACCTTCATTGTTACAGTAATGGAAATAATAATTTTGATCCAAGTTTGAGTTTTTTGTTAAGATAAATTCAATTTGATCTGCCAGTAATGAGTAATCAGTGCCAAGAATTGTGGCCTAAGAGGAGACCTTTTCTCACAAAGTGCAAACTTGACTGGATGACTTTCCAGATGGTCTTTTTGCTGGACTACTTCAGTCCCTGTTGAATAAGTGAAGATGTAACTATATAGCAAAAAAACCCTCACTAAACAAATAAAATATTCACTCCTGTGAGTGGTGAGAACAAGATTTCCATTCAAAATACAGCTTTGAATATCCCTTTATTTTATAACAATCAATCAGTTGTGTATTTCTTCAAGGCTCAGCTAGGATATTCAAACAAATTTCAAATCAAAACAGTCTGTCTTCTCCACATTGCATTTTCATTAAAGAATAAGATTTACAGTTCCTAAAGTAATGAAAACAGAGTATACTGTACCTAACAACTTAATATCTTTTACCATCCACATTTCAAAACACATAACAGTATTTGTTCAAGTTATTACATTAATAAAGAATCTAGTAATCAGAGACTCTGTATTTTTCAGTCTGATAAATTATAGCAAGAAAATGTGAGGATAATGCCATTTCTGTACTGGAAAATTATCATTCATTGCAGATGACTGTCATTCATCATTAAGGACAGTTGTGAAGTGTAGGCATAAGGGATCTGGGAAATGGTCATGAAAGGTATCCATCATTGTCAAAGCTAACCAGAATACTCCATGGGCAATAGCTTGACCTGTATAATTTTGTCTTTGAAAGCAGATTCAAAGGCAGTCAAACTTTCTGTTGTCAAAGTAGTCAAATGAATTTTCAAAACCTCCTAGAGTAAACAGTTGGGTTATTCAGAAGATCACAGGATGCTGCTATTTGATTTGTAAAAGAATTTGGATTAGAGAGCTGCTTTGACAAAGCACGGATCTGAGCACAAGCAGGGGTATTGGCTATCCTTTACGGGTCCTTGAGTAGAAATCAAAATGTTGTCTCTTGTCTCCCAGACCAGGAGGTGTAGTGGAGTGGTGTGCATGTCCCTTCTTAAATGAAACTGCAAAAATCAGCACATTATTTAGGTCAATGACCAATGCCAAAAACAGGCAAGAGACATCACTTCAGCAAAACATGACAGTATCTCACTGAAGTCAGAGCTTTGATAATTTCTAGTTATGTTTTACAGTGTCTTATTGTACTGGGTCTGGCTGGAATGGAGTTAATTTTCTTTATAGCAGTCCTTATGGTGCTGTGTTTTGGATTTGTGATGAAAACAGTGTTGCTAACACACCAGTGTTTTGGCTATTGCTGAGCAGTGCTTGCAGTGTCACGACTTTCTCTTTTTCCCTTTCTGCCCCCCGTCCCTGCGGTGATTAGTCTGAGGGTAAGCAGGAAGCTGGGAGGGGACATGACCTGGACAGCTGAGCCAAATTGGCCAGAGAGTTATTCAATGCCATAGAGTGTCATGCTCAGCAATAAAAACTGAGGGGAGGGGTTTTTTTGGGAGGTAGCCATTGCTACCAGACTGGGTGAGCATCAGTCCGCTTGTGGGAGGTGGTGGGTGATTGCCTTTGCATCGCTTTTTTTTTTAGTTTTTGTGTTTTCTTCTTTCTTTTTCCTTCACTTCTTAAACTGTCTTTATGTTGATCCACAAATTTTCTTGCTTTCTCGCTTCCTATTCTCTCCCCCATCCTGCTGGAGGAGGGGGAGCGTGAGCAAGCAGCTGTGTGGTGCTTACCTGCTGGCCAGGGTCAACGCACCACAGTAACATAAAATAAACCCAGAATTATTTGACCCTTTCTAAATGCAAATATTAGAGGTAAGTAGCAGTGCATTAATCAAATTAATTGTAACAATTTTAATATTGGTAACTTTAAAGATACAAAGCACACTGTGTAATTTCTAGTGGTTTAAGTTTCCTTTGTGGAAGGAAATGAAAAAAGCTTGGAATAAAACTCACCTTTTGGTGAGAACAGTTAACATTTTCTTTTTAAGTCAGGGAATGCCTATGTGTGGAGGCATAATACATGCATATATTATAATACAGATGTGCATAATTAATTTCTACACAGCTCGGGCACATGATTGATGGTTATTGTTTTGTTGATGTATACAGAGGATGCAGAAAAAAGGTTAGACTGAGCTTGCAACGACTATATGACAAGATCGTTTGAGCCAAATAGCCTTGAGAAAATGGAGAAACCAACTCTATGGAGTCCAATAAAATTATCATAAACTACAGCAGGCAGTATATGTACAAAAATAATCAGGAGAGCTAAGAGCAAGTCTAAGGGGTGACTAGCTAGCCATGGATAAATAACAAAATATTCTGAGCATATGCAAAAGCAGGCAATAGGTTAGAGAGTGGGCTCATTGGATCGTTAAGGGACCAATACTGCAGAATTAAGATGTTCAGATATCTTGCTGAAGAGCCAAATGAATTAATTTTGTAACATTCTATGTCTTAGAAATGTTTGGGAGATATCAACTTCGGATCTAATCTCTTCTGGCAGTAAAATACAGTCGGAACCTGAGATATAGTAAAGCTAAACTGTAGAAAATTCAAAATGGATAAAATTACATTTTTCACACAGTGATACATAACATTTGAAATTCATTGCCATAAAATGTTATGGAGACTAAGATTGTGGTAATATGTTTAAAAAATCCAAAGAGTGGTTATTAGTGTATATATAATATCAATAGCTATAGTAACAGAAGTGCTATTAAAGCTTATATGTCTTTGAACTTCTTGGATAAGTTAGCCACTGAAAGTGTTGGAGTGGAAGCAGATTGATGCATAACTAATTTTTATGGTTGCTTAAACCTTTCTCTGAAGCAGCTGGTGTTAGCCATTTTGAAGGATATTGGGCAAAATGTTACATTGCTCCTATTAGGATTTAAGAGATCCACAATATACAGTACTTATAAAGCACATCTGAAAGCTAATTTAATTAATAAATTGTAGCTGACAAAAAAAAAAGCAGTCATCAACAGCAAAACATCAAACTGAAGAGCTTTCAGTGAATTTTCACTGGGTTTCAACTCTGCCTTTTGATTATTTTCATCAGTGATACTGAAGTAAATATAATCTTGCTTATGAAAAAAAAAAAAAGGCAACTGCTGCAAGGGATTGGTAGAATGGCAATGAGTCAGAGCAGTCCTAAAGAGTGAGTTAGATCACTTGAAAAGCTGAATTAGTTTGAATAAAGTGTGTTTTAATTAAGTCAAATACTGGGCAAATCTATGTAATGGGGAAATCTATAGCCTGGAAAACACTGACTTTGAAAGTTACCTACTAATCCTAGTGAAAAAGCGTTTTACGACAATATGGCTAAGACGATTTATGTTTTAATTTAATGTACAAAAGCACATGAAGAGGTCGTTTTGACTATCAGTACAAAATCGATGAGACATACTACAATACCATGTACAACTTCTGTGTCCATGTTTTTAAGTTTGAATGTCTTTAAGGAAAAGTGGAGAATTTGGAAAGGGAACAGAGAAGCGTTAATATTGGAGGTTGGAGGTGAAGTCGTTAAAAAGGCACCTTCAGGGCTCACTTAATGTAGTTTATCAAAATGAAGATAGAGAAGTGGTTTGCTTAAAAATCCTTTTTTTTTTTTTTTTTTTTTTTGTGTAGAGAATACTGCCTGTTAAGGTTTAGTTCTAACTTTTATAGGGGCAGAAGTGATAAATGGAATAAAGGAAGAAATAAGAGAAACAAATATCTGGAAGCTAAAGGCAGGCACATCTCCTAGAGGTTAATTAACAGTTGGAGTTAGTCTATCCAGGGAAGTATGTTCCCTCTCCTGGTGCATTTGACACAAGTCTGGAGCCTTTGCAGAAAATATGCTACAGTAAAAAGTGTTATTGATTTCTGCACATGGGTAACAGTGGAATTTCATGTCTGTTGATAGGTGATCAGGTGGCTTCTTCTATTCTTAGAGAGGAGCTTTTAATCCACTATGACAAATTGAGTTCCTGTAATTACAAAATAAGGGTTGACAGAGTATTTGTTATAATATGTTTGAAGTTATATTGCAACGTCAGTTTTTAAGTGGAACTCCCTTCTTTCATTTCCCTGTAAAATTACCCCCCTTTAGTTTAAAGCCATTC